TTCTTATCTGAGCCCTTAGCACAGAACAGAGACAGAAATGATTGGTGAGAAGATCAGGTCTAGAAAGCCGAGCCCTTTATTGATTCTTCTGGCCTTTCTCAGTAAATATAGAATGAGTTTTAAATTCACCTAGAAGGAAGCTAAAAGCCAGCGTGAAGTGCTGACTTCCCAACATGAAAGAATAAAGGAATAGTGTCTTCTCACCTGATTCACTTTTTATTCTCTCTGTGGTGAATGTTTCTTTGTACCTTGCTTTAATTCTATTTCAGTTTTAGTGTGTTTTGCTATAACTTGACATCGCTTGCGACTTTCCAAAGAGTAATGGTCTTGACCTAACTTTTGGAAGAGCCTTGAGATCAATGCATGAAGGTGATTAGAAAAGCTGTTGCGAGCAAATGTCCTCCTTTGGCTCAGTCAACAGCACTGAGCACTTGAGTTAATAAGCATCAAGGGACCGTGAAGGAGGACTCTACCATTCGGTTCATTTCACACTAGTGCTAAGCTGTGTTATTACAGACAAAAAAAGGGAGTCAACCCAAAGAAACCCCCAGGTAGTATACAGGGTACAGTCCACTGCACATGGGAATTTTTGTGGAAGGTGCTCATCAGCAACATAGGAACAATGTAGGAAAAAGTCAGAGATGGAATGGAAATGAGATGGGAAATGCCTAAATAGGGTTAGAACTTTCACTGTACTGATGTGGAGTAATCATATTCTCTATTCTGAAGAGAGGGAAAGCTGCTGTAGACTTTTACACTTCATCCCCTCTGTCCTTTTCCTTGTAGTAGTAGATGCAGTAGATACTTTCTGTGGTACCTATCTGAGCACAAACTCTTGGATGTGAATACAAGTCGGATCTGGCTCCTTGCTGTCCTCTAAATGCTTACACCTTAGAGAGATGCATGGCTAGCTGGTTAATTCCTTCAGCGTCTCTGTGCATAGTCAGAGCCTCCTAAGATGGGTCTTACATTTAAAATAGCAGGAACTGGATGGGGATAGAGCTAATTGGGCTAGAATTACTCTGGCACTTCAGATTGTTACTTTGTCCACTGGGACCCCAAAAACAAAGCACCCTATCCATCCAGTGGATTTAAGTGAATCTAGTGAGTTTGGAAACTAGGATTCAGTCATTCATTTGTTGTTGGCACCTTGTTTGTAATAGAGATCAGCACTAGCTGAGAGGCTGGTCTATCACCTGAAACTGGAAAAGGTGTAGGGGAGGGTTACAAAGGAGCCAAGGACACAGGGGAGATGATGTGCAAATAAATGTGGGTGTTGAGTCCTTCTTCTGTGTGGCACAGAGGAGGCTAAAGGTTGGGGAGTTACAAAAGCAGTGGAACCAAATTCTTAGAGGTAGTAGTAGATGGTAAGAGAAAAGCAAGGCAAAGAAAGGGTGTTTTGGGAAACTCAGGCAGGACATAAGACAAAACTTCTTCATAAGGTGAGGGGGGCAGCGTTGGTACAGGTTACTGAGAGAAATGGCAGTCATCATAGTGGGAGGTTTCAAAGTCTAGCATGGATAATCTGTTGGCAACAGTACTCTTTCAGAGGGAGGTTGGATGAGAATTCTAGAGGTGCCTTAAAAGCACTGTTTCTGCGGCCCATTGACTACAGGTATCAATTGATGCAAGGAAAGACCTGTATGAGCTAAGCTGTAACTCACACAATGGCAACTTTGATCTTATCTCAACTCCATTAGAGTATATGTGAATGTATTATTAGACAGTCTTCAGTTGTTTGCATAGGAAAGTTATTTTAAGGTATTTGTGATTGCCATTTACTAAGTATAAACAGCTGAACTTATTTTGTACCATGTTAAAACTGTGTCAACAGCGTCTTGCGCTACTTGTACCAGATCAACTAGATTTGGTTATTACAATGCATAGAGGCATTGGCACAGTCCAAAGCTTTTAAATGTAGTGGTCTTTTGAGGCCTCCAGCAACTTCTTTTTCTGGATCATTAATTCCCACACTCTGTGTACATCTGTTAACTTTTTGATGTAACACGTTCAGATGTAGGCAAGTCTTCTGATTTCATCGGAACTACAGTAAGCTTAGAGCTCACTGAGTTGTAACTCAATTTTTTATCTTCATTGAATAGGAGTAAGTCTTGTCACTAATTACTTTTTTCTTTGTGTTAAATCTGTCCTGCTTGAGCTGTAATGCAGAGAATGGCGGTGACCTATGTAAGTGAAGATAAATCCAAGCTCTTGTCTGAAGTTGGTAAAATGCAAGCCAGTTTCAACCTGGACTTACAGGCATGGCAGTAAGATTGAGATACTGTGCTGTTATGTGGGTATTTCTTACTAACTAGCTTCTTCCCTATCCACCAGCTTCTCCTATATACTAGCTCAGCAAAGCATAAACAGCAGAGGTTAGATCCATTTTACTCCTTAGGTCCATCTTTTATCTGACATGGAACACTGAAGGAAAAAAACATCAACAAGCTCTCAAAGGAAAAATACCTAAGAGCAGAATCTTTAAGGCAGCAGGCACAGCTCTAGGGACTGCTTTGCCAGTAAGTTACTGCCTGGTTGCCAAGAAAAAAGACATGCAGTATATCTGTGTTGGGCACTACTGTGCAGCCCAGTTGATAACAGTGGATTTCTCTAGCACAGTATTATCAGGTGCACTAAAATGCTAGGTTTGTACTGGCAGTTTTTTCTTCTACTTCCAATATTTATCCCACTGTACATTGATTCTGATTTAACTGCAGATTTTATTTTTTCTTTACTGTAGAACATTAAAAAAAATATGTATCAGTGGTTGTTTGTATTCTTTTGGACAGACAGTTTATCTATTGATCACACAGTAAACAGAGTACATACGCTAAACAAGATGTTTCATTTCCAGGTGGATTTGAATTAAACACATCATTATTCTGTGGTAATTAGCTTATTACATACATTTTCTTGCAGAGCTAGCCTAGATGACCTCTTCTTTCCTTCCCCTCAACTGCACACAGCAGGGCATCCTAGAAGACTGATACCTATGGTACTGAAGCATTTCAGCTTGTGGCACTTGGACAATGCTTCTTTCTAAAAAAAAAAAAAAAAAGGAACTTACAGAGATTACCTCAGCATGTACTCCTCTGATTAGAGGCAAATGTTTGTGGTATTGATTGATATAAAAAATTAGGGCTATGAAAAATCCTACTGAGTCATTGCAAACCTTAACAGGTAAAGTGCAAATGCCACAACCTGTTACTGGTATTGACCTGGCCACCGATTTCTAGTCATTCTGCCCTGAAGGAAAAATTAGTGGAGTACTTATTGGATGGAGGCTCATTACTCTGTCATTCAAGGGACGTTGTCTTTTCAAAACCATGTTCAGGAGTATAATTTGTAGAAGTTCTGTGGTTTGCCCATCTGTACTCTACTGTTTGCTGTGAGCACAGTTGCAGACTTAACACTGCTGTTATTAACAGCTATTCAGGAAGTTCTTCCATTTTATATTCCTAGTCTTCATACAAGGATGACTTCATTTCTTTGGGGTCATTTCTGATATGCCCATTTCTTGTTCTTTTTGTGGGTGTCTTACAAAATTATATTGAGTGTATTTCACAGTAGCATTAGATAGTAAGCTTGACTGCAAGTTTGTATCTCAGGTTTTCAGCACAGCCATATCTAAATAAAAAGCCTGGATGGACATCAGTAATAGTTATTGCTGTGTTTCAGCATTTACTACAATTTCAAACAGTATGGTTTCTTGTTCTCGAGTCACAGTTGAGTGGGACCCTGGGCAGCCTGGTCTAGTATTAGATATGAAGGTTGGCAGCCGTGCCTGTAGCAGGGGGGTTGGAGTTTGATGATCCTTGAGGTCCCTTCCAACCCAAGCCATTCTATGATCTATCATATTTGTAGGGAATTGAAGGCATTTAAGAAATGAAAATGTAAAGATACTTCAATCTCAGCCTGGTTCAGTCAGGTTTAGTTTTTAACTGTCTAGATCCACGCATCCCCTCTTCTTTCAGCTTCAGTGATAAGGGTGTAGGTAAGTTTTATGTTTTCTTCTGAGTTAAGAACAGAGTTTGCCTTTTCATCTCATCTAAGGGAGATGAGCATTCCCCTCCCTGTCTCCATCTAAAGCCACTAATGGAGCTCCTCAGCTACTCTCCCAGACCTTCCCAGAGAGTTAACATTTCTCTTCTGGTCATATTGTAACCTCTCTCTTAACGGTATTCAAACTTCAAGGGCTTAGCTGTAACTACACCTAACCTACCTAGGGCATAGAAAGGATACTCTTCTGGCATGGAATTTGAAGTAAGATACTAAACACCATATCTGATTTTTTTGTTCACTAAATTAATGGAACTCATTGCAGTATTGTATGCAGAATTAGCTGTACAGATGCTGTATAATCAATGAATATAAAGATGTTAAAATTATGAAATAGACAAGAGAGGCAAAGCAGGTTATAATAACAAAAAGAGAATAGATAGAAAGCCTACCCACGTCCTGGGCTCGCTGCAAAACTCCAGAGAAGGGATCTCCAGAAGAGATCCTTCCCTACTGGCAGTCAGCTCTTAAATGGGTCTAGGAGAGGTGCAGCCAGGCTCCACCCCTTCCGGCAGCACAGCTGAATTGCCTTCACCTGTGCTCTGTGGCTGACTCATTGCTCACTTCAGTTGATCAATCAGAGGTTCAGGCCATGATTCAGCAGTTCCCATACAGATGGGCACACAAATATTCACCTGCAGTGAATTAAGCAAATCAAACACACTCCTGTGAGGAAAAGATGCCATATATACACTAAATTGGACTTTGATACCGCAAGCTGTGCCACTCAGGAACTATCTGACAAGCCCAAAAGAACTCTTAAGCAAAGTGGCCCTGCAGAAATACGCGTAGGGCTTCTCTGCCAGAGCTGGCAGATGGCAGAGCAATACATCTAAGAGATGCCTGGAGGAAACAGTACAAGGGATGCAGCAACAGCATGAACAATACATTGAAATAACTAACAGGGAGAAAAAGAAAAGAAAAAAGAAAAAAGCCCCAAACTGATAAAGATCTTTAATTTAAAAACGGAGTAAGTTTATTCATTGGAAAGTGCAACAAAATACCCTAGGGATAGAGCATTCCACTACAACAATTAAAATTGCATTAAAAAAATCGATAGGAAGGTCTGAGTCTTAAAGAGAACAAAAGTCAGTACTTTTCTTTGTTTCAGTATATCTTTGTGCAGAGATACTGATAATTTTCTTTTTTATGTACTCAGTCTACAACTTCATTGCTTTTACTTGGAGGACATTCTGTAACTTACAGATACTAGCTTGAGGCTGCAGGACCCTGATCTGCAGGCACTTAGAGGAGGCAGATGTGAAAGAATGGGGGTATAGGACATACTCAACTGGTATTCTAATGCTGCCCCATGTCATTTCCCTTTAAAAGCTGAGGTATGCAAGAAGTCCAGATCCACTCAAAATCATTTTCTGCTGCAGCTGGGGGGGCTGCAAGCAAGCAGAAGGAGAGCACAAGGCTAGAACAAGCTTACCATGTGTTGCTCAAGGGAGCTGCTAGTTTCTGATCACTGAACCAGTTTTTGCAGTAGAAGTAATTCACTTGGAAATGCTGCAGGTAGGTTTCATAGCAACCTACTCTCCCTCACATTTGTTAACGCACTCCAGCTGAGCTTTACTAGCCTGATTGGCTTCTTTAATAAATAGCAACGGTATCATTTGCTAGCACTTTCTGCCCAATTATTTGAAAATATTTTACAAACATAACTGAACCAAGCTTACAGTTCTGGCATACAGATCAGAAAGCTGCAGAGAATACATCATAAAGGGAACCAAGTACAATAAATGCCCACAGCAAAGTTCATCTTCTGAGTCCTAGTCCTAAATTTATCCTTCTTTCTTGTTTTATTTCTTCATCCCAGACCCCAACCTCTTCCTTATAGCAGCAAGGACTGCTTTATTCTACAGCTGTTTCTGAATGCCTGTATAGACAAAGACTTCTGGTACAACTGAGGTTGTCCATTCAGTCCACGTTAGCACAATCTTTGGGTCTCAGCTGTCCATATTTGGTTTATGTCTCTTGGCTCTGCTGTTCTCCTGATGGTGACTGTCTTCCGAGGGTACCCAACTCTCTGTGTTTGTCGCAGACTCCTCTGGAAATTTCTGACCCTCAGCCAACACCTGTCGAATAGTCATGTTGATACGGGAAGACTGCAAGTACTTGGCACAGACTTGCCAATCCTCATCAGAGCTGTGCTCAATGACAGAGCCAACAGGAAGGTCTGTAGAAAGTGCCTGGTCGAGGCACAAAGGCAAAGCTGTCCCTTCAGGGTTGGGAAGGACACGGGGGACAGCATGGTACAGCAGACGGCTGAAGCCAGACATCACCATGATATCTCCACTGTGCATGAACATTGCTGTTGGGGCCTCTTCCCGCTTCAGGCCCCCAAGTAAAAATATGGAAGATTGTCCAAAACTAAAAATGGTGTGAGGATAGAGAGAGAAAACAAATTGAGGTAGAGAAAATTGTATGTACAATAGGAAAATATTAGCAGCAACTGCATTTCTTTAGAAAACAACAACAAAAACAAACTAAACCAAAAATGCCAATGGACTCCTTGTTAGAACACAGAGAACATGGAAAACAGACCAAGAGGACTAGTTTACTTTAGACACAGTGTGAGCAGTTGCTCTGCCCAGTTTTGGTGTTCTGCTGAGGTATTTCATGCTTGTTGCTTAGTACCCAAATTGCCACTCTGCTGCTTTAAAACATAACCGTGCCCTGTACTGACAGCAATTCCACTGAGATGCCACATCCATACTATTCAAGCAGTCTTCAAGCAACCTATGTCCGTGAGCTACAGCTTCCCAAAATTCAGGTCTTTGGAGAATAACTATATGCTCAATTAACTAAGCGCATCATACTAACTTCCTATAACCATATATGATTGTGGTAAAAACAAATAAATAAGTAAATCCACCATGCCTTCAGTAACACTCAAATGGACTCACCTGAATGATAAAAGGGGACGAGAATGGTCTAGTTCAGACTCATCTACATGAATTCCCAGGGAAGAATCAAAGTGATAATAGTTCAAGATCCCTGCTTGGGCTTGGAAACCCCGGAATCCACAGGCTGCAGCCACTTGTTCTGACAAGAATGCAAGGTCTGAGGGGAAAGGAGTGTGATGATTTGCTGAGTACTTCTGGAGGAAGGAAAGTGAAAAAAAACAAAACAAAAACACAAAAAGAGCAAACCTAGAACATCAGAACAGCAAATGCAACCGGAAATAAACAATGAATCATATCTCAGAAATCTGGCAAGTCATAAAGAAGGACTACAACATAGGTATGACAAAAGAAGTTTTCCTCAAATCATTTAATGCTAGGCCTATGCTGAACTTGCTTGAATTAACAGTCTTTCATTTTAATCATGGAGTTGAACATTATAATTGAAGTTGATATATGAACATCGTGAGGATTTACCTAGGTCATTCAGTCACCACCTAATTCTGCTAATTGAGAGTTCTGTATCTTACCAACAGAGCTCATCTCAGAGCTCTTAAACAAACATCTTTGCTCCTTTGAAGGATAAGACAAACCCACTTCTCCCTCTCTTCCTCAAGTGATTTTGACTGACAAGAGTGAAAGGGAGTAATCAAGTTTTCTTAAGGCCTCAAAATAATATGCTGATCTGATAAATATAAGGCTGCAAACTGATTTGCTTAAGTGTCTGTAATACACTGATAGACTATACATAAGCACTCTGCTATCCTGTCTCAGCCTCTATCTTACTCAATCTGCTGAACAAGTTTATCTGTCTCCATTACTGAGGAGCTCCAGAATAGCTGTTAGTTGGTGAGACTGTACTATACTGGTTCAGGTTGTAAGTTCAAAGTCGCATCTTAAGCAGACTTTTCCTGCTCTCATCCCTCCACTGAGGAGCAGCATTTCTCAGAAGTACCTGTCTTCGAACACGAAGGTCAATCTTGCTCTAAGTGCTTTTGATATATTCCCTTTTAGAAAGGTAAAAATGCTCACTTATGCTGAAATGGAGTCACAGGTCTACAGCCAAGCACATGCTACTGTGTTACCTTTTGAAGCAAAGAAGGCAGCAATGGGCTTTTGCTGTCAAATCCTCCACAGTGAATCCAAAAAGGTGAAAATGTTCTTAGGAGCACGGTGTTACAGCCCTTCCTCCAGACTGTTGTGTAGGATCCTATGAACCTTACTAAATTTTATTCCATAATACCCTCTTTCTGTCTGCAATCCTGAGCACTTAGATTGAAGAAAAGAAATGGAAAGGAATTAAATTGCAATACCTTGGTATCCCAATTGTAATGGTAACCAAGGGTCACCCAGCGCAACTTCTCCAGTAAGCTTCTGGGCTCACATTTACTGGAACCTTTCCTTCTGCAGAGACAAAATTGAAAGAAACAGGATACATGCTAATTTCTGAGAGATTTCATGATACTATAGTATGCAGTAATGAGAATCACTCATCCATGTCAGCCTGTTAAAACTATCAGTGCTAAACTTTTATATTCATTTTCCTTTTATGCCACTGTTCATTGTTGAATTTTCTGTTTCTGAACTGCATTTCAGAACAAAAAATTCAGTTCATTCAAGCTGCACCAGTTGTGGACTCTACTGCCAATTGCTGCTGTATTTGTACTCTGATGCCTAAGCTGGGATATCATACAGAGAAAACACAGTGAACTGGCACACACTTATAAGTCAGAATTAAGCATGTACTATTTGTGCAGCTGGAAAAGAATCTGTAAAGATCTAAAACGTATAAACACAAGAATGAAATATTTCAGGCACTTAATGGAGAATTACAAGAGAAATGTGTTAGCTGACAGTGTAGTATATGAAGCTGTAAAACACTCTCCTAAGCAAAAGGCCATTAGTTCTGCTGCTCGGTACTTTTACAAGAAGCCCTTAGGATGAATTAGCTCTGTAAGGTGACTTCAGATATGAATATATGCATCTTGTAATGTCAAGGAATTTAGACTATGGGTGTTTTCTATCCAGGATGTCACAGAGGACCAAAAGTACACTCGTTTTTTTTTTTTTTTTGAGGAAAGAGCAGCATAATGCATACAGAACTGTTTTCCTCAAGTGACAACCCTAATGCAGTGACCTGTAACCTCACAACTATTTTCCCTTCGTACCTGAAGATGTGGAAGGCAGGAAGAGACCTCAGGGATGGGCTTCTACTATGGCTTAAAGAAAAGTCCTCACAAAGTTACACCAAAGAGTCCTACTGTAGTGAATCAAACAGAAGCATGCTAGTGACAAATACAAAAAAAGAAGGTAGACATATCTCCTAGTCCACTTACACCAGAAATTTCAGTTTCTTTTCTCATGCTTAGTCGTGAGATATGGTAAAGAAAGAAAGGAAAGGAGGAGACAGAATTGAACAGTAGCGCCAGATGGTCGGCTCTCATTTACAGCCTCATTAGTTCAGCAAGACATGATCTTTACAAAACTGAATTAATGGTATCTGTGCTGCCATGGTCAAGTGTCAGCCAAGCATGTGCATTCAGCATGCGTTTCTACTGGATACACAGCTTGTTTCTGCCCTTCCCTTTATTGATCTTTAGTATTAGTAGCTTGTAAGCTAAGCTGGGAACAGGAAATAAGGCCAGTTTCTTTACCTGTAGTGATTTTTTCACAGCTCACTGAATCTTGAAAGAAAGTCATCTTTCCAGTTTCCTTTTTTGTCACAGGGTAATAGCAACTGTAATTGCCATAATGCAGCAATACAGTACGCATCAAATACATGTTGCTTGGAACAGTTTATGGAGCCTACCAACAAGTAACAACATTTAGAAAATTAAGAGGCCACAAGTCATTCCTCTGCATCTTCCAAACAGTAAATTAATGTTCATAGTTAAACATTTTTTCACCTGCCTTCTGAAAATGCCCTTCATCTTCTTTAGTTAATGTTCACACAGAAGCAGGAACAATAGCTCAGAAGGTCCGGATTCCCAGAATTTATTATTTTGCATATGATTTCATAGGTGACTGATTAGAAGGGGAAAGACTGGGGTGTTATGTTTTTGGAAACAGTGAGTTCCTAAGCTTGTAGCAGAGGTGCTCCTGCAAGAAGACACTGAGAAGTTCAGGCTAAGCTATGTTAGAAAGAGAGCAAGACTGAAGAGTATGAGGGGAGATGCTCTGAAGCATTCTCTTTTTTCTTTACTTGCTGATAAATGATTCCATCCATAAAATCCTCCGAACTGTTTTCTCACATATGCAGGCATATGTATCCCTCGCAAGGACATGCGTCCTCTACACTTTAAGTCCTCCACTTTGCAGAGAGAGCACAGCGTACATTCCTAGGAACTGTATGGACTCTCCCTACCTTATGATTCCTGCAAACAGCAGATATGTTATGATCCAAGCACACTTAGGTATCTATCTGATGGAAGATTAAAAAGCCTTGAAGAAGAAGATGGAAAGATAAAAAGCTGTGGCAACAGACCTCCCTCTAGCTAAGCATGCTTTTTCTCCACTCTCTGAAAAGTTCTCACTCCTAATTACCAGACAAGTTTGTTAGTTTGATCTGCTTCCTGCTAGGTAAAGCATAGATACAGCAGCTTGCAGATGTAAAGAGCAAGCCGAATGCTTAATACAACGTGGTGTTCCTGCCAGCCATTGCTCTTCCAAATGTTCTTTTCAACTGAACTAGATTCAGCTGCAAATTAACCTCTGTTCTGATCATTCCAAGTGTGCAGGAGGTACTGCTGGGAAAGGTCTGTCAAGCTGGAATAGTACCCAACCTTTTTCAGCTGTAGGGCACAGTCCACAGTGCTTTCAAAGAATATTTTTTTCATATGTGATGGAAGAAAAAAAAAAAAAAAAAAAAGCATTTGAACTTCTGTAACAAATTCCAACTGAGCCTGGAAGACTCAAGTGCAGTCTAACTTCTGTCTCAGGTATGAATATTTAGAAGTTCAAACTTTGCTTTGGCAAATCCATTTCTTCTGGATGTTAAGAATTTTATTTTATTTTATTTTTTGTTTTAAGAAAAATCTCAGCACATCCATTTTCCTAACGGGCTGTAGCAAAAGATGAGAGCTGCAGGGAAATCTGGTCACTCCAGCACATGACACAGCCTTATCAAAAATAAGCAATTAAATCAACAATGACAAATAATGATTGTATACTGTAAACAGCATCTAACTTCCTTTTATTTTTACAAGTATTATTTTTTAAAAAAGCTTAGATTTTAACGTTTCCTGTTTGAATTTAAAACTTGGACAAATTCTCCATTAATCTCCAAATTGGGTAGAAGAAAGGCAGCTTTGTCTGCTACAGAACTCTGATCCTGTGGGGATCTTTCAGAGTAAACAAGATTGACATTAAAATGGCACACATTTAATTGCCGTCTCAGACTGGATGAAGGAAAAAATCTGAAAATCAAAACATGGAAACTGGTCAATTTGAGTGCATATACAAAAAGGTGAACGTACAGCTTTTCAATTACAGCATAGTAGATCCAGCAGCTGACTGGAAAGAAGAGCTTAGCAGGCACAGCATGTTTGGAAAGGATCCATTTTGCCTCAAGAAAAACTGAGGTTTAAGGAGCCCTCATGGTTCCACTTGTAGTTGAGCTTTGCAAGCTTCTGAGCACCACGACATCAGCCAGGGTTGCTGTTTTACCCTAGACTGACAGATTTGGCATAATTTGCTACTAGAAAATCATATTGTTAATGTAAAAGAAGAGACTTAACAAGGATGCACATCATACAAAGATACATCTTTAACTTGGCATGTCTGATATGATCTGTATACTGCCAGCACGTACTCAGTCTTTTTCAGCCTCCTTTCCTTGCCATTTTTAATTCAGCCTTCTCAGAGCTGAGCACTTCTGGCTCTATTAGTTTTGACTAAAGGTTGTTTGGGACTCACCTCAGCTTTTCCTTGCTTTGCCCCCACAGATCAGCGGTCTTCTCAGGAGCCATATGCAGGTCCAGGTTGCAGACATTGGGTTTCTGGGTGTATAACTTGAGACACTGTTTCACCCAGTGACGCTGGCAGCCCGGAAGGAAAGGGTTTTGTATGAAAATAAACCCTGACCAGGAAGAAGAAGGTAGAGGGGATGGGTGAGAAAGTATGGTTAGGCATATCCCTATTTTTAATAAAATCACAGCAAAGGAGAAGGGTTGGAGGTACTGAAAGAACACCTTAGGAATCTATTAAGAGGTCCGAAAGGTTAAGACCTACTGTTCTTTCAAAACAAAAAACGTATCCCTGTAAGTTAGAAGGCATGGAGGGCACTCAAAGGCAACAACGTATCTGTGTAAAGCATACAGACTGCAGGTAGATAAAGGGGAAAGAACTCTGAAAGCCAGCTGCTTTGGAGTAAATTTGATACTGAAATGCTTCAGCAGAATTCTTCTCTTTAACCCTTTAGTTACAGTTTTTATAACTATTACAGCTGTCGTGATGGTTAATTTATAGTCTTCAAAATGACCCTGTTACTGTCTCAGAATCACAGAATGGTCTGGGTTGAAAAGGACCACAATGATCATGGAGTTTCAACCCCCCTGCTATGTGCAGGGCCGCTAACCACTGGACCAGGCTGCCCAGAGCCACATCCAGCCTGGCCTCGAATGCCTCCAGGGATGGGGCATCCACAGACTCCTTGGGCAACCTGTTGATTATGTTCACTTTTTTCCATTATCCACACAAGGATAAGAGCTGAACTCAACAGGCAGATGTTTAAAACATCATAGTTAAAACAGAGTCCCATTTTTCCTCTTTCCCTACGTTTCTTGCACTGTAGTCTTGTTAACCAAGCGCTTCAATCTCTCTTCCCCAGCTGTAGAGCACAGCTCAACTAAGTACCTTGGGTACCTCTACTTCACAAAGATCCCCATGCATCATCCCAAAAGCCAAGTGCTTCCTCTTTTACACGGCCCAGCACAGAACCAGAAACTGCTCCTACTGACATCTTAAAGATTATAACCATACTAAGCTTGGAAACCTGTACGCAGCACCATTTGTAGCTTTTCCCCATCCCCCCATTCCTGAATCTGGGAAAGGATAATAAAGCACAATAATAAACCTCCACACAAAAAGAAATTTTGCAAGGCTTTCGGTATGCAGCTTTCAAGTTTCATTTCTGCATACAAAGTTGTGCTGTATCAGCATTCTGTATTCATGATGCTGACACATTTTTGAATTTTGTTGGGGGGGGGTGTTTTTACTTTTGTTTTTTAAATAAGGGAATTACGTTTCAGAACTCATTAATTAAGTCTCAGAATTCATTCTGTCTTCTTATTGCTACTTCATTGCTCCTTCATTGTCATGAACTGCAGAGAGCAGTCCACAGGACAAAGTTCTTAGAATATAAACTGTTTTCTCCTTTGCTTTGTGCTTATTTCCAAACACGTGTGGTTATATCAATCTTTACACTTTTGTATGCTATTACTCAAATTGAATGAAAATCAAACTGCATTCCAGCTACGTTGCTGTCGTCTATTAATTAATAATGACAGCACAATATATCAACAAAATGAAGTAAATAAGTAGCTAATGAGCACAGTGATTTAGCCAAGCATTTCAGGCAGCTTTCAAGCAATAGCCCAAACAAGAGGGTTAGCACAGATGTATCTGTGGATCTGTTTGGTCCGTATCTTAACAGAAAGGAGTCCTTGCCATAAGATATGCCATTGTTAGGCATGTCTTATATTTAAGGATATATAAGGATACAAGCATATTAGGATTCTTTACTGGATTTTTTCCCCAACACCCCAGGGGTGTTTCCTTCCAAGACAAGATTGACAGCACTGATGAATGAGAGTGCTGAGAAGATGCTATTAATCTGTATCATACTTATTTTGAGAACCAAGGCTTTCTTTCAAAAACTGCCAATTCAGTAAAACTCACCAACACATTCACATACAAAGAAAGATAAGGATACAGCAGGAACGAAGGAAAAGGAGGTTTCAAGGTTTTGCCCTATTCTGTCTTTTTGAACTTGCAGTCATATCGAGGCAAACAGACAAAAATAGATGAAAAAGGAAGAAGGAAGTCTAGGTTTCTCAGCAGGATACAAACTTGCCTTGTGGCCTTTATAAAGCGGTAATAAAAGCATGGAAAAATCTTCCTGCCAGCATATCTCACAGACCTCAGAAAATTAAATTAAGTGGTTAGAAAAAGAGCCTTCAGTATAGTCATAAGACACCGTCATTCATTTCATTCTATTCCCTGCACCTTCAGTCTACAGGTAGCTTCCTTACAGGTCTGATTACAACAAGTTTCTTTGCCAGAAACATTAAATTTACTTTCTGTTGGCCTGTGTACAGAACAGAGTAATAACTTTGCCCTTTCTGTCAACAGCTTTTGATGTGCAGTTTTAAAACATTTTACTACCTATATGAATTACACTGTACTAGGGATGTATTGCCTCCAGGTGCTAATGAAGGAATTGAAGCCCGGAGGGCTAATTACACACAGAACTGAGAGCAAGAATCCAAGCATCAAAGGCAACATTTTTGGCCTTGAAAGAGCCCAAGTGAAATAAGCAAAAGAGGAATTCCTTGGGGATCTGTATAATAATAAAATCTGCCTTGAAGACACAAATGCGGTTTTTGTACTGCAGCAGAATCCTGCAGCACACTGAGTATGAAGGTCTCCAGCCTCAATCTTGGTAAGACAAGCAGGTGTCAATGAGAACAACCTATCATAAAGGCAGTTTGTCTAGGAGGACAAATTGAGCCTGAGTCAGTAGTGCACCCTTGTGGCAATTAAGGCTGATTGCACGTTGGCCTATATGACTAAAAGCTACTTAAAGAGGGACTGTGAAGAACGGAGCCAGACTCTTCTCCAGGGTGCACAGCAAGATTATGGGAAGCAAGTTACAAATCACAGCAATGCAGATTGTGATTAGATAAAAGGTGAAAAAAAGAAATCACAATGAGAACAGCTGAGCACTGGATCAAGTGCACAGAAAGTAATCTCTGTCCGTGGAGGTTTGCAGAACTCACCCAAACCAAGCTCCCAGCAACCTGATCTAACTCTCAAACTGGCCCTGCTTTAAAGCAGAGAGGACGGACCAGAGATCTCCAAAAGTCCCACCCAACCTGACATCTTTCTGTATCTCTAATAAGTGACCTGAAGATCTAGTATCAATTTCAGTTTATTTAAACAATGAACCTAACAAAATTATTCTGTACCTTACATAGGACAAGAGGTCAGTATTCACTTCCCGTACACCAGTAAACAGGGGCCATGCTTCAGGCCTGAAGTGGCTGTATTTCAGTCACTTATCTAATGTTTATGATATATGTTGAGGAGGAACTGATGCTGCATAAGTATAACATTTCTATCAAAGGCTTTGGCAATGTGGATTCTTTCCCACAAGGGATGGTCTGTTTGGTTAAGATACCATGAAACTACTGGTTCTTCTGTTCTAACCTCCATGTATCACTGCATCTCATCCTTTAACTGATGTGTTTGTCCTCCTGCACTTAAAAAAAAAACAAAAAACAAAAAACAAAACAGCAAACCAACAAGAAGAAAAAAAAAACCCAACAAATCAACATCACAAACATTAAATTATGCTGAGGTAAACCTAAGTAGATTTTTCAGATGGGGGAAGAAAGATAAAATGGAGGATGCCTGAATCAGAAACAACAATGTTGCAATTATTTTTCTTGAAATCAGAGCACCTACCTGGGTACCCATTGAGGCCATAGGCTTTCCACCGGCTGACTGGTTGCAGTCCTGCCCTGCAGGCATCTTGGTCACTGACTGAAGAAACACTGAGCTGTGATCTGAACACCTGGTAAAAGAAAGCAGATCTGTTAAATGGAGGAAAAAGAAGCAATAGACACAAAACTCATTCAAAAACAGCACCTGTAGAGTGCTACCATACTCCATTCAAATAAAGGGAACCTTGTGAAAACAAGGGAACTGTTGTCTGAACAACTGCAACCAGAACAGGACACACAGAGCTGCAAAAGAGCTAGTATCTACAGATCTTACAAGACTTAGGAATTGGGAGAGACAGCCTTCATTCATAAAGAACAATTTGTATTAAGAAAAAGATCTGCACTGTTTATCCATTTCCACATTACAGCTCAATCTGTAAAAACCATTTTGCTGAATATCAGTCTCCATGAGAGAGCAATACGTAGTCCTCGTAACACTTTACATCTTCAAAGCATTTTCCAATCACAGTTACTGCTCGGAATTCATAGGATAAATGACTGTTCTCATCTGTAATTACAAGAGAAAAGGGATAGTGATGAAGTTGCCGAAACAGTCTGATGTAAAGGACTGCAGAAACCCTATAAATGCTGAATACCACATTGTTACCACTAGGGTAAGGAGCTCAGGGGTCAGCAGGATGTATTTTTTCAGTGTAGTACACTGGATTGCAATAATACCTGTTTCAACTGTAATAAGCCCACATTGTTTCTGAAAGAAACATATCCACCTCATTCTCACTGCTTTCCTTAGGACTGGGAACTTTCCCAGGGAGGACATAGTAGAGGTACACTGGCTTTGTTGCAGCTCAATTACCCAGTCCTGTTCTCTGTACAGCTGTGCAGAAATACAGCTTTATGTTAGGAATTGGGGAAATAAGCAGGGGGAGGTAGACAAGACTTCATTTTGTACCAGTTTAAAGCATACATGAAATTAAAGCCCAAGTGTGAGCGCTCCCAAATGAGGTACAAATCAGTTGCTACAGGCTGAGAAAACAACTCTAAACCAGTACTGAGGGGCAGTTTCTGGCAACATACTCAGTTTTACCAACTTCTCAATTCTGCCAAAAGCAGCTCTGTAACTGCCAGCCTTGAAGAGCTTTATTCTGAGTCTTGTCTGCAGAACACACCCAAGAGGGAAACTGCTTTGACTGAGCCTTTACTGTTTTTCCATCTTCTCCAACTGCTTACACACCGGCTGCTGCCAGGGCTTCCCAAGAACAAGATCTGCTCCTACACTGAAAGATTGTATGTGCTGAACTAGTAAAATATGCCTTGTAGCAAAGCAGCTGGGGATGTCACACTTCACTGGAAATCTCCATCACTTGAAGCACTCTTCAGAGAGAAAAAGAACAGTATCTAGGCCAATCTGGCTGGCCTGCAGTCCTTCTTCAAGGGAAAAACTATATGCTATTAACCTGGGGGGAAGAGGAATCAAAGATACTTTCACAAAAAAGCTGTCAGCTAATCCCAGAAGGTAAGAGGCACAAGAGAACGACACAGAGAGAGGACAGATGCTTGTGATGCTTTCGAGGACTGTAAACTTCCCAGAAGGGCTGTAACGCCAGAATCCTTTGATAAAGTATTGCTGCAAGCTCAGGAAAGGCTGAAATATTAACAACTACTCTATTCAATGCTAGTGCCTGAACAATTTCCTATAGGTCAAGTTTTGTGTCCAGTTAACAATATCAAAACTATTGTCTGAAAAGACAGAGAAGTACGTATTATAATACAACAATAAAAATAAAAGGCTAAGTATTGGGAATATGAAAAACTAGGTCAGGTTTCATTTTAGCTATACGCCCACCTTTATTATTTGCATAGTCTCATAGGGAATCCAAATTTTAATACTTCTTCAGGAGAGATCTGTTACCCTTTTATTAGGTGACAAAATAGGAGATGAGCTCCAAGGACCGCTTTCCACAACGCTTCACCCACATGGTGAAACTACTGAACCACACAGGTACAGCTTTCAGAGGCTCTCCCAATCACGGCTAAACCACGTGTTTGTTGAGACAACAGGAAAAGGAACCTCGCTGAGGGGAGGGCTGCCCCAGTTCCAGCCACGTGTTCCTCGGGTGGCAGAAACACAGCCTGGCCCTTTTCTGGCTCTCCACGTTTTTCCAGGCCCAAGATATCTGGCAGGCCCAGAAAACAGCGACAGCCTGTTTGGTTCTCTCAAGTAACACACACTTCTGGTGGAGGCTTTGGAGACCACACTGCCGCGCTGAAATTTAGCTAGCAGCAGCAATAAGCAGGCATAAGCAGAAAGAGTATCTCTGCAGAGAGGATTTCTGTTACTGTGGCAGCTTCGGGGATACGCCCGCGAACACCAGCATCCCTCACAGCCCCCGGTCCCGTGGAGGAGCTCTGCACAGCGGCACCACCCCCAGCCGTGACACCCGACACGAGGCGCTCCGCCGAGGCGGTGCCCGGGCCCGGGCCGCTCCGCGCCTCACCGTGGCAGGCGCTGCCGCCCATCGTGTAGGGCTCTGTGGGCACTGCCCTTCGTAAGGCGCCCACCTCCGGCCCCGTAAGGCCCTTCGGCGCCGCGACGACGCGGGAAAGGCTCAGGGACAGAGCCCAGATCCTCCCGCGGGTGGAGGAAGGCCGGCGCGGCCCCGCCGTGCCACCCAGCTGCCCCCGGCCCCACACTATGAGGGCGGCGACGGCGCGCCGTTACCTGCCCCCCCGGCGCGGAGAAATCCACCACCCCCCGCAGGTCCGCCGCGTCGCGCTGCCGGTAGAAGCGAAAGAGCCGGCGAAAAGCGTCCTCCCCGCCCTCCCGGCCCAGCGCCGCCGCCCCCGCCGCCATTTTGGTTGCGCCGCCGCTGTCGGACGGCGCGCGCGCTGCCGAGGCGGGGCGGAGCGGGGGAGCGCCACAGCTCACAAGATGGCGGCGGTGCGTAGGGCAGCTCGGCATTCCCGGCGGGTCTTCGACATCTTCGTGGCCGAGGTTCCCTGGACGGTGTCGAGCAGTGAGTGCGCGCCGACTCACTCCCTCCCCTGCCGCCCCCTGCACTCGGGGCTGCCGCGGCTCCGTCCCCTATGGCGCAGAGCCGCGTAACCATGCGTCCGTTTTTCCCGCAGAGGAGCTGAAGGAGTATTTCTCCCAGTTCGGGTCGGTGCAGAGGTGCCAGCTGCCCTTCGTAAGTATCCGCCGTCGGCCCCCGCAACCCCCCGGCGTCCCCCGCTGCGCCCGGCCCGCGGGCTCTGCCCTCCTCGGCACCGGCTCTCCCAGGCCTCTCGGGGTTCACGGCTGCCGCGGGCTTTGAAAGCCGGGTTGTTGTGGCTGAACCTGGCAGGCGCGAAACGACCAGCGTTGTTTTTCTTACAGACCCAAAACAGAGCGTCATAGCGGGCGCTCTAAAGAAAAAATTCCATCCCTGCTGAAGCTCAGGCGGGGCTGCAGGGTCAGGACAATTTGAGACTACCAGCCCTGCTTTATTCCATTGTAATAGCTCGTGCCCCCTCCCAGCTGTCAATGGAAATACGTGTTGTAAAGTATGAAGCAGACTTTTGAAACAGTTGTACTGGTCTCTTATTTCTGAATCCTTAAACAGGACGTGGATAGAAAGCTTAACAGCCTATGTAATAAAAACTTCCTACAGTAACCAGCTTCTTCCCTTAATCTGTAACTAGGACAAAGACACAGGCTTTCACAAACGTTACTGCTGGATTAAATTCTCATCTCCAGAAGAGGTTCAGAACGTGCTCCAGAAGGACTCCCACATACTGGAAGGCGCCAAGGTAACGGTTTCACTCCTTTAGTGCAGTAGCGTGCAGAGTTGGGTCTTTAATTCTGCTCCCTAGTGGATGCTGTAATATCAAATTAATGCCATACTTATTCAAGTGAAATTAAGCATTTTGCCACTTCAGTATACTTTTAGTGTTTCGAAAATTATTTATAGTTATTCTATTGTCTCAGCTTGACTGCTTATAGCTGTGTAACTGTAATAGACCCACAGAGAGAAACCATGTCCAGACATAAAGGTCTTCCATTATGCTAAACTAAAGGAACACAGATGTGGTAAAGTTCTTCAGGAACTGCTGTACAACCCTTTATCTATCTGTAATAAAGTTTTCTGCAAGCAGACTCCAGCATCAAATTTGCATTCTAGGGAGAGGCTGGAATGTGACAGAATACAAAGCTAAGCTTTTAAACCAGTGAAAACAAGTGACAGTGCAGTGACAGCTGGAAGCTTGCTTTTGGTACAGTCTCTAAATAAGGTGAATTACTAAGGGGATTTTTATTGTAGACTTGCACATGCTTCAGCTGGCCTAGCTAAAGAGCAACCAGCAGGCTGCTGGAGCAGATATTATCACTTAATGACTTTAAATACACATTATGAATTTGCCCTTATTGTTCTGACAAGCAGTGTTGAGTACAGCCAGTTTGTAAGAGACTTCAGGGGGTCTTGCAAAGTGTTGATTATGGTAAAGCATTTTGCTTCAAATGGCTCGTCCTACAGAAGCCTTTGTTCGTTGTGGTTATTTTATGGTGTCTTACAGCTGGCCTGGGAGGTAACAACAGTGCAGAAGAAAAGCAAAGCTTCAGTAGTAGTTTACTGAATTCGCTCTTAAGATGCAATAAGCCAGGCAGTAGGCTAATACTAGGTAAGCTGAGTTGAAAATAACAGGATGTTATCTGTAGACAATTACCAAAATAAGTACTGTGACTACCACTGGTGAGTCTTTAGTGTGAGATTCTCAATGTCTTGCAAAATGTGCTGCATTTTACTCTTGAAGTTGCAAGATATCCATATTTGCTCACCTACCAGTGAAGCCATGGACTGTTAACAGGAGGTACAAGAGCTAAAATGCTGCTTTTTTAGAACAGAAGGCAGTTAGTTTTTTTTTTTTAATAAAAAGACAAGCCTCTCTAAAAGCAGAACATGAGCACTTCTGTTAATTCCACTTGAAATTCCAAACTTTTAAGATGTGTTTTGCATGACCACAGCTAGTCTTATCAGTAAATTTTATTTAATATTCCTTCCAGGACTCAGCAGCTGTCACTATAGATCTCACACATTAAGGTCTTCCATATAAACATTCTAGAAACAAAAAGAAGTCAAAGTTTCTTGCCTAATGTGAACGATTTCCATTGTTTTCAGCTATTTCTCAGACAACAGCAAGGTAGAAGATACCTTCAACCAAAGAGAGAATCAGTGTGAATGAACTGTGGAAAGAGGCTTTATTTCACTAAATGTAAAGAAACTGAAATAAAGATTATGGAGAAACTGTGAGTATTGGATTTAAAACAGAATCCAGCTGCTTCCCTTCCTTGTTCAAATAAACTATGGAACAACACAGAAACGCAGGTATAAGCTCTCTAGCATCTATTACAACATGATACAGTAATTATTTACAGTGGGAGAGCTTGTAACAAATGAAATAAAAGCTTCAGCTACTTAATAAAACCATGGTGGTGGGAAGGGGCTACATTCTTACCCTGAGATGCTGGGCAACAGGGAATTAGCAAAGTCAGAGAACTTGCTATAGAACAGTTCCCCGGTGAAACATTTCCAAGCAGTCTCCATTCTTCATAGGAAACTCCTTGGTAGAGGAACTAGTGTGTGTATATACATCTCCACACAGCAAAAGAGTTCTGAACTGCTTCTTTACATGGCATCACCCTATATACCTCTGTGATATTAAAAACACCTTTTTTTTTTTTTAATGAAGTCCAAGCTTGTAGTCCGTTTCCTTGCTACTCAAGGTACAGAGGCACTCACTCCTTCCTCCTCTTTTTGCTCTCGTGCTCATGTTCCTTAGGGCGGCTGCTATCAGAGGGCCGTTTAGAACCACCGTGTTGCTTAGCTTCTTCCAGAAACTTGTCCAAACCAAAAGGATCCTCCTCAAATTGAACTGGTCCGTCTCTGCCTCTTCCTCTGGTATTACGGTCGGAGTTAGAAAACTCTTTGTCAGGAACAAACCTGTGGGAGAAGATATTATACTCCAGTGTTTGGGACTTCAGAACAGTAATTAAGAGTATTTTGTTTTTATTTTCTTACCTATTGGTCTTAATTCGAGCCTCTAGGTCATCACCATACATATCCTTATCAACATTTTTACTTGGTCTGTAGATGTTTTGAGCCATATCTTTGCCACTTCTCCAGGGCTGGTCATAAACATTATAAATCTCATCCTCTCCTCCAGCAAAGCCACTATCCATACCCTGTGAAGGAGAAAGGTGTACAGCTGTATAATGCAAATGAGTGCCAAACTTCAGCTACTTTATTTTAACATCAAGATACGGGCTTGCTGTCATGCAGATATAAAAACATGCTATGATATGATTTACTATTATTTCTATCAAGTTCAAGCTCTTCATATGCTATGAGTGGTTTTGGGTCTGAGATAAAGTCCAGACAACGTAACACCATGTTTACAAGCTTCAGTCAGGACTACTTCTACACTGCCAGAAAGCAGCAGGAAGGACTGCAGGCCATTCATATTTCAGAATAATCCATCATCTCAGTCTGCCCTGCAAGTACAGCTGGCTATAAAAGCCAAGTGCAGCCATACAGAAATGCATATTAATCAGAATTTCTGGCAAATGTGATTTAAGCCGACTCATCTAAATCACACACAAGTTTATGTAAGCCATGGAAGTAGGAGAGATGCCTGCTTGCTCAGTTCTGATTTGTCAGCTCTCCCTTCTGCCTACAAGTCTTCCGTTACAGGCATGGAAAAGAACGACTGATACGCTGCAGGACTATTGTGGGACTTCTAAAAGCCTCATCTCTCTTTTTAATCTTTCAATAGTAAGAACTTCAGGGACAAATGTTTCTGTTGTCTGTATATTCAGAAGGTTTTATATTATAAACAGTAATGAGAGTGGCAACTATTTACTTGCTGCTCTTTCAGAGCACATTCTCCTTATTCAATCAGTACAATTACACAAAAGAAAGCGAAGCTACTGGAACTTGAAGGCAAAATAGCTTTTCTCTCCTCCTTTTCTCCCCACAGACCCAATCCACTTTAGAACAGTTACACATTCTGAATATCCCAATGGTTGTTGCATCAGCTACAGAGTAGGGAGATTAGCAGTTTGCTACCCATTAAGCAGAGATTCCTCAGAGCTCATCCACACCATCCATTAAAACAAGGCCCCCTTTGGACTCCAGCTGTGCCCGCTGGAACGCGTTTGCTTGTTCTCACAAAACTACACAACTGTGACAAGGTATTTTTACCTTGCTCTGGTTGAACAGCCTCTGGTCATACTGGACTTCATTGGATGGCCTGGGGTTGGGTACACCTAGTGCAATGACTTCACTGATATCTCTGTTTTCATTTCTCTGCAGCTTCGACCTGAAATGAAAATTCTGAGTTTTATTAAGTCACATAAGCCTTTTTTGTTTTTAAAAAACATGCTCAATTGCGACCCGTTTCTCTATTAGTAGCTCATGATTTGCCCCAGATACCAGATTTTAACTGGTACTGTTTCTCACTAGGTAACATTTAAAATTTGTCTCCTGGCAAAGGAGACATTTGGGAAACTTATGTTCAGGCTAAGCATGACATTTAAATTTACTTTCCACTGTCTGCAATTTATATCAAGCTGATTTGGGCTAAAATGTCATTTTTTTTTGCACAAACTAGTACAATTATATTCTTGAAAGGCTGGGCAATCTAATTTTAAGATATTAGAGATTTTAAGCTCCAGAAACCATTTGTCCTCAAGAAATCTAGCTTGCACAAACAAGTTACTTCCGTTTACATTCACAGATCTAAACACATTTTAAATGTACAGTTTCAAGAAAATTCTACTGATTATATTTCAATCTCACTGAAAACACAGGTATCAACCTCCTTCTGCGAACATGGTAATAAAGTCTGAATATGCTGAGGATCTGCCAACCACCCAACCCTCTCCTCCCCCAGAAGGGCACAAAAAACCCCACCCAAAACACCAACAACAAATAAATAGTGAAAGTCTTCTCTTTATCTGGAAAAATCAAAATTTCTTAAATCAGCCATGTCTGACTGCAGATAGTCTAAGCTTAACTTTCCAAAGACATGGATTCTACAAACAAGTGCTATATTAATGACTAAAATTTACCCCAGGCTAGCCCCACACTTCCTTTTAACTTAGAACACTTATTATACATTCATTAAGTGTTATGGTTGCAATCCAACTATTTCCTGTATATAGCCAGCGACGCTAACAGAGCTTGAAGCCCTTATCACACAACACTCCCATAGTCTAACTCAGTTATACCATTTCATACCAGTGAGCATCTCCACAACGTAAAATCCAGGTACTGATGCCAAGGAAATGGAGAAAGCTGTATGCAATAGCTGCCATAGTGGGGAATCCTGTATCAGTACAGTAATAAAGCAGCTTCTTTGTTTGTGACTCACCTTTTATCAGGAGCTGCCCTGGAGAGATTTCTGTCGTGCTGTCTCTCTTTGCGCCGGTCATGTCTTATTTCATCTCTTTCTCTAGCTTCTCCATCCTCTGAACACATGCAAGATTGCTTATTACAGACAGCTACTGAAGTCTGAATTAACTACAGCACAGACACTAGCACAGTGATTCAGTTCAATATTCATTTCCATAAGAGAAGTGACCCTCATAACTGTATGTTAGGTGTTAACTAACCGGACATAAGGAGAACAGTAACTTGCTCACTTAAACATACTTGATAAGAGACCTACAGCAGACATACACAACAACTATGTTTTCTGAACTTTAAAGAGCTCAGAATTTTTGTCATTCTACAAATTAACACCCTAAATACCTGCTGATGATTGTATCAGACCCTTTTCTGTGTTACACGTTAGTATAAAAATGCCATTCATACACAGGCATCTTGAAGAACATTCTGTAACTCATTATCACCAAATCTCTTGGGCTGGAATACATCTACCCCTGCTCCAAGCAAGACGAATGCTGAAATCAAACCATATTGCTCTGAGCTTTCCCCTTCAGGTCAGGAAACCCTCCATGGATAGACATTCAACCTCTCTGGACAACCCATTCCACTGTTTTTTTTGTTTTTGTCCTGATGGGAATTTTTTCTCCTACACTGTTTGAAGTACCCACTTGAAATTTCAACCATTAACTCATTTTTCCGCGGTGTAGCTGCTGATCTCTCCATAGGAAGCCTGACATCAGGTTAACACCAAGCTCTCTGTTCTGCAGGCAGAACACACTTCATTCTCTCAGCATCTCATCACGCAGATGCTCTGCCCACCCGGCCATTTTGGTGACCCTCCACTGCAGTCATTCCTGTTCATCAATGCCTGTCTTGAACTGAGAGTCTCTTAAGTGGACACTATTCCAGATGCAGTCTAGCACATGACCAGTAAAGGAAAAACAACCCTGTCCTTCTGGCTGCACTCCTGCTGATGCAGCTTAATATGCCCCTAGGAATACTGCTGCCAGGGCATGCTGCTAGCTTTTCTTCAGCATTTTGTCCACTAGGACTCCCAGGTGCTCCTCAACAGATCTGCTCTGCAGCCTGCTAGTTCTCAGCCTGTACTGCTGGAATCAGATTAGTCCATTTCAGCTGCAATATATGATCATATTCTCCAACTTTAAGTGACATTAAGAGAACTGCTTTGTAAGTTCAGCACCTTGATCTCTGAAATGTCACTTCAATCAAGACATAAGACACCACAGTGGTACAATTTAGTTAGGTTATTAGATTCTGAGCCTGGTAGCCAAAGCTGCCTCTCTTTAAGACCAATTATAACAACATCAGAGACAGAATACTGCATTTACCATCTTTGGAAACTTAAAGATCATTTAGTTCTCATAGACAAAGTCAAAACAAGCCATTCCTGAAAAAGAAATTAGATTAGAACAGTCCATGAAAGCCATTACTTTGTACTGATCCAGTTATAGTGATCAATTCCTCAACGATCTCCTTAAACCTGGGGTTGAAATTCAGATCCCCACAAATTAAGCAAACATGTTGGCTGTTCAAGGAAAGATGTAAAAACCAGATGTTACATTTATAGTTAACATTTGGGTATTTTAATTTCTCAGGTTACTTCTGCAAACCTACGCTTCAGAGAGTGTAAAAAAAAAAAAAAAATCCCAAAACCAGACAACCCCACAGTATCTCAGCAACAAAGAAATGTACCTTTTTCAACATGGGTTTTGATTCCTGCTCTTCTTTCTCTTGCTTTCTGGGCCATTTCTCGGAGCTTTTCCTCATGTTTCTCTTTTTCTTTCTGAGCCATTTTCCTCTCCACCTGGGCACGCATCTCCACAGCCTCACGAGCCTGCACA